TCGACTCCACCACCTCTGTTGACTGACGGTGCAGAAAACCTAGTCTCTTTCCTGCACGTCGCATTGGTCTGAGCGGATGGGCCCCACATTCTTAGCCAAATACATTTATTTTCATTAAGACAACATAAACCTAAGTATTCCCCACTATTTTGGTGGCTTTCCCTTCCAAGAATATCTGAAACTTGTAAGTTTTAAATATATATTGAATTCACTGAGGGCCCAAAGAGAACACAAAGGCAGGAGTAGAGCGAATCGCCCTCTCCCTGTTTGAGCTGGGCCACTCATCTTCTCCTGCCCTTGGACCTTGGTGCTCCTGGTTCTTGGGCCTTCAGACGTGGCCTGGGACACACACCACTGGATCCCCTCCAGGTCCCCAGACCTCAGGAACGGGACTGAGCCGCACCACCAGCTTTCCTGGGTTTCCAGTTTGCAGATGGCGTATCGGGGACTTCTCAGCTCCCACTCGGGTAAGCCAATTTCTATAATAAATCTCTCTCTCTTTAGATAGGTAAGTAGATAGATAGATCTATCTCAGTGCAGCAATTCTACCCCTAAGTATATTCCCAAGAGAAATGAAAACTTATGTTCATACAACAGGCTGAGCGATGCCGGGGGTACCACTTTCTCCTGCCTCCAGCTCCGCACCAGCTTTTCCAGGACCTTCCCGAGAGGTGGTGAGCTGGGCCACTCGTTCTTCCTCTGACACATCCTTGCCTTTCATGTTTCCAGTCCCGATCTTGCTCCGAACCCACCATTCCCCCTGAGCTCTGGAGCAGGGCAGCTCTGGGCATGGAGAGTTTGAAGGATGGGGAGCAACCCTGACATTTTAGCCACAGAGGGAGAGCGAGAAACCCAGTCTGAAAATCACTAGATGTTAGAGGGGCCTCGGCTTCTCAGTTATGAGCAACAGAGAGCTACTCTGAATTCATTAAAAAGGAGTGAACTGGAAGAATGGCAATCACAGATGGCTACGGGGCCAGGGTTGGAAGACCACAGCTGGTCATGCCCCAGTCGCCTGGGTGGCCCAGCCAGAGTGCCCTCTGCTCTTGACGCCACGGCCTCTGGAGCGGGATGATGAGGCTGCCGCCTACTTCACTAGTACCTCCTTCAGTGGCCGGGTCAGGCATAGCTCATCTGTCAAAGCTAGGTCACAGGCCAGTCCTGGCTGCAGGGGACTTTTCTGATGTGAAGCGCTTTGAAGACCCAGCAGGGCATTTTTAAATGGCATGGTCTCCAAACACAGGAAGGTTAGACGCTGGGCAGTGTCCCCAACAAAAAATGTCCACTAGTGTCATCCAGTTAAAATTGTCACATTCCGGGGTGCCTGGGTGGCTCAGCTGTTGAGCATCTGCCTTTGGCTCGGGTCATGATGCCAGGGTCCTGGGATCGAGCCCGACATCGGGCTCCCTGCTCCACGGGAAGCCTGCTTCTCCCTCTCCCACTCCCCCTGCTTGTGTTTCCTCTCTCGCTGTGTGTCTGTCAAATAAATAAAATCTTCAAAAAAAAAAAAATTGTCACATTCCCCCTTAAACACAGATGAGGATGCGGAGTCCTATACAAGTGGCCAAGGCAAACCTGTTTCCTCTCTTGTGCCAACACCCATCAACCACATTCCAACTGAACGGGGGATCTCGAGGCTTCGGCTGGAGGCAGTGGGGAGCCATTCAAACCCACTCACAGCTGTTCCCTCTGGAAAGCCTGGTCTGTGTGCCTCCTCTGGGCCACCCGTTTGTGGATGACTAAACATCCTAACACCATTTCCTGTATTGGGCATTTTCACCCTGCAAGATGAGAACATAAAGGCTTAATAAGAGGCTGTATTCATATGGATGTTCCCAAACCTACCCGTACACGAGAACTCTCCAGAGGTTCTTCTGCCCCACCAAAGGCGCAAATCACAATCTCCTAGACACGGAGCAAGAAAAGCTTAAAACACGTTGGTGTTTCTTAAGTAGCCAGTCTAGCACAACCAGCATCTGGAAACTCCTGTTCCAGAACAGAGGGCTACCTTCTATAGGCAAAGGAGGTTCCATTACCTTTCCACCAGCTAATGTTTACCAGAATCCAAGAATGCAGATTTCCCAGGCTTAGAAATGGCCGGAATCTCTTTGTGCATCCAATGCACAACTTGGAAAACAATATTGCCAATTGTTTAGGACACCTCTTTCCCTTCTCTATACTGTAACCAGGTTCCTAAGAGGAGCCTGGCCATCCTTATTCTTGTCCTCTGGCACCTAGCAGACTTTCAATTCATGACAACCTAGGATTACCCGAAGGCACAGTTACTGCCTCCACCTAACACCTAGTACAACGGAGAGTAGCCCTAGGAAGCTGCTGAGCTGGAGCACTTACTAAAACCTGGGCCAGATCACAATTCCAGGAACGGCCAGAAATCCTGACTGTACTCCAAAAGGCCCACGCTGGCTCAGGATTTTTGACGAGTCACTGTACTCGATGCTACTGAACAGCAAACCTTTCCTGGGGGATGCACTCAACAGAGAGAGGACAGGTACGGAGCTGTGCACCAGGCACGCTACCACGCACTTCCGTTAGCTCATTCAGTTCCCACCGCCTTATGTCGTAGGTTTTATTCCTTTGCTTTCCTCATTTAATAGACCCAGAAAAGAGGCACCGCTGGAATCTGAATGCAGGCACTCTGGTTCCAGAGCACTCATTTTTAACCACTACCTATTTTTCAATAAAGATCCTTTTTGGGTATCTTGAATTTGGCCTTACTTACACCAACATGGCCAGTTAAGACAAAAACAAACTTAGATAGGCAAGCACTTACTGTACCTGGCAGCCCAGAGGACCCAGAGGTTTCTACTGGCACGGAGTGATCTGCCTGGCTCCCTGCTCATGCTGCCTAACCTTCCTGGCTGAAGCCACTTAATCCTATTTGTCAAGTTAACAGCCCCAACACATGCCACCAGAGGCTGTGTTCTCAGCACAGAAGCCCAAGGATCCCTTCCTCTTGTGCAAATGAGCCTTGCACACGGGGCTGCCCTGACCCTCTTTCTGATTCTAGGCCCCCTCACATCTGAATCCTGGCCAGGTTGGTCAAGACTGGCTGTCTGGAGGTCCCTCATCTGCGCCATCCTGCCAGCAGAACCTCCTGACTCCGCAAGTACCTGGAATGAGCCATTACTATAGAAAGCACCGTCTTTCCACCTTCTTTTTACGTACTTAACTTATAAAATCTCTGCAGACTCACTTCTACTCCTACTGGACGTCAACCATGGCAGGCCAAATAGAAGCACGAGACAGGCTAAGATAGGAGAGCCCCTCTGTGATAAGCAGGGACCTAGAACCTTGGTCTAGGCAGACCAAGCAAGGGTTATTAACAAAAGGTAGTCATAAATGAAATATAAAATGGGACGTTAGTTATTTAATGACACAGGAAAATAACACGTTATGAAACAAGCTGGTTACAAGTAGGGGGTAAAGGATGACTTCACTCCTGATAGAAAATTTAAAAGTACGTATACAAAACCCGATGGCTATGTACGAAAAATATCGACAGTTTTTACTCCTGCTCTGTGATTAAAGAGTTTTCCCTTTGTTTTTGTGTATTTTTTGAGACGTGATTATTCCTGAAACAAAAAAGAAAAACAAGTTACTGGATGTTTTAGATGAAGAGTTCTTCAATGCCAGGAGTCCAGCAGTCAAGGCCTGAACCCTAGGACAGGTCCAGCCAGGGGTACAGTGGTCAAGCCCAGACTCAAAGGATCACTTTTTGTTTTTACTACTGGGATGCTACTGTATCAGGCTGTTCCCTCCACATTTGAAGTTCTCAGTGTCCTCATATTTAACAGGAGACTATGAATATTAACTGGCACAACAGCAAAACGATGCCAGCACCTTCGGTTTCAAATTGATCAAAATGTCGTAACCATTTGATCGTTCTAAAATGCACTGGAAATGAGACAAGACACAGGAAATACTCTGGAAGTCAAGAGTTCCTACAACAAAAACCCCACATGACGAAACCCCCATCTTTTGCTGCTCTTTTCTGACTGCTGTTCATTTCCAAATTTCATCATAAACCTATTTTTGTTTCACAGTTGTGGAAGGGGAAATTTTTCTCAAAAAGATGCTTTGCCTCCTGAGTACTCTGCAGAGTTGGAAGGGTTCACCAAAATCCAAACCACTCGAAACAGAGTTGAATGAGCGGTGTCATCGCTTTGTGCCTTTTTCAAGAAGGTTTTTGCTAAATGTCCACAATAGCCAAACTGTGGAAAGAGCCAAGATGTCCATCGACAGATGACTGGATAAAGAAGATGTGGTATATATATACAATGGAATATTATGCAGCCATCAAAAGGAATGAGATCTTGTCATTTGCAACGACGTGGATGGAACTGGAGGGTATTATGTTGAGTGAAATAAGTCAAACAGAGAAAGACATGTATCATATGATCTCATTGATATGAGGAATTCTTAATCGCAGGAAACAAACTGAGTGTTGCTGGAGTGGGGGGTGGGGAGGGAGGGATGGGGTGACTGGGTGATAGACACTGGGGAGGGTACGTGCTCTGTTAAGCGCTGTGAATTGTGCAGGACTGTTGAGTCTCAGATCTGTACCTCTGAGACAAATAATGCAAGATATGTTAAGAAAAAAAAAAGAAGAAGAAGAAGGTAGCGGGAGGGGAGGAATGAAGCGGGGGAAATCGGGAGGGGTGGACGAACCATGAGAGAAGATGGACTCTGAAAAACAAACTGAGGGTTCTAGAGGGGAGGGGGGTGGGAGGATGGGTTGGCCTGGTGGTGGGTATTGAGGAGGGCACGTTCTGCATGGAGCACTGGGTGTTGTGCACGAACAATGAATCATGGAACACTTCATCTAGAACTAATGATGTAATGTATGGGGATTAACATAAGAATAAAAAAAAAAAAAAAAAAAGAAGGTTTTTGCTAAGTTATTAAATGGAGAACAGCAGATTATTACACTTATATTGGTGTAAATGAGGCTCAAAAATCTCAGAGTCCCACTGCTTCCAACAAATGTTAGGACTGCTAAGGGTGCTTCATTCAAATAACAGTGACAAATAACCCACACTTTGTGCTCTTAAAAAAATGGGAAAGGCTCACTGCTTTAAAATCTGGCATATATAAAAACCAACACCACCTTACATTAAAGGTGCTTCCTAGCCACAGTAGCATTTTCAGGGGAGGTCAGAACTATGGTTAAGGTCCAAGAAACCACCAAAACCAAAAAAACAAACCCCCCCCAAAAAAAACCCCAAAACAAAAAACCTGAGACAATCTTCTGCATCACCACCCCCAGTGTACCAGGTCACTTCTAAGTTCAACCTTCTAAGGCAGGTTGAACTGAGTGAAGGACATTAAGGAGGGCACAGTGATGTAATGAGCACTGGGTGTTATGTAAGACTGAAGAATCACCGAACTCCACCTATGAAACCATTAACACATTATATGTTAATTGATTTTAAATAAAAAATACCCCACCCCCCCCAAAACAATGACAAATTTAGAGGTAAAAGATTTAAAATACTCTGTCATCATAACAAAATCCAAAAGATCCCTTGCTTTGCTCTTGAACAACCTAGAAAAATTGAACTCTGTTTTACATCCCCAAATAAGAGCGGTATCTCCTGGAAGTATCAGTGCCTGGTGCTTGCAACCCACGTCAACTCATACTCCTGTTCCATCAGTCCCAATCCTGAAGCCACAACAATTCCTTTGTTAGAGAAAGGGAAAAAATCCATTTCAGGACAAAGCTATTCAAGACGAAAGGAAGGCGTGTCTTCAGTGGGAGAACTGCCGGCTGTCGGAGGACTTCTTGCTAATGTGTTTGAAGATTTTGGACTTCTCGATTTTCTTGGCTTTCTGGTAGCCGAAGCCGCCGCCGCCTCCTCTCTTTTTAAGCTTGCCGTCATTGCTGTTCACGTCTAAACGTGAAGGTTAAGGAAATCAAGCAACTCGAAGACAATGAGCTCCCATCTAATATCCATCCAGAGAACAAACCAGCATGTACCCCCCTGCTCCGCTCCCACAACCCCTCCCTGCACCACGAAAATGTGACCATGAGCCCACATGACCCATTTCCAGGAAGTCTGGAGTGGTCACGTGATCATGGACTACAATGAGCAGGTGTGACTTTTAAGCCAATGTAACAGTCATGTTACAGATACTGATACTGTTTTCTGCACAACTAAACTGAAGACAATTATTTACAAGGAGTTGAGAGGTACACATCAGCAAGTCTACAGAAACACAGTAAAAACCACCCTCCATGTCAAAACAAATGACTTTCACCTCTGTTCAGAGTGGATTCGGGAATGCTTAACCAACTGAAGGAGTTGCTCTTCCTTCCTCAACGATTCAGCAAGTACGCACCACACTAGACACTTACTGCCTACGAGGGCGACGGTGACCCCCAGTCTCGTCCCCTCGGGAGTTGGAGCCACAGCACTAGCTCACAGGCCTCACTTTCGCTGTTCGTTTCCTCGGTGGAAAACATGAGGATGAAGTACAGGTGATCAACTGCAACAGAAGCAACTGGAAGGGTTTCCTTTGCCTTTTACCCTGAGTAGCACTTACGGGTTATTTTCTTTTGCTAGTCTTGCAACTTCCTCCTACGAAATCCTTCCATGGCTCTGAGGGGATAAACACTCTGAGGTCCCATCTTCTCTCTCCAGCCCCAGGGCATGCTGCTCTCCATGACTTTGTATAGGGAAGCCTCACAACAGCCCAAGCCCTGCAGCTGCACCCCCCTGGGCTTCTCTCCAGAACGCACAACTCCGGCTCTCCCTGTCTGCCTGTCAAATTCCTAAAGGCCTAAAGCACAGGCTGTCTTGTGTGTGTAACCCCCACCGCGACAGTTAACCCCTGCCTACTGCGTGCTAGCGCTGACAAGCAGACAGTGACCAGACCTCGCCGGACCACACACCAAACCAAGTGCCCCTCTGTCAACCTTTTGTCCCTCAGTCCCCGGATGAACTCCTGACAACAAAGAAAAGGATACTCAGATCAACAAAAGGAGGCACCTTGAAACCAAACGACAGAGCAACTTGAGGCAAATTTAAGTTATTAACATTGAAGATCTGTTTCAGAGAATGGGAATCATATGCTCGAATGTAGGACTTATATGCTTCCTGGGCTGACTTATGAAGGAAGTAGTTCTTTTCAATCAATTTTTCAAGCTGAAATGAAAAAGACATTGGTTTCAATAAAATACAAAAGCAGACTTCATACATATTAGAATAAAACCATCCTGTAAAAAAAATTTGTTCCAATTCACTTGTGCTCCAAGTTTTGTAATATTTGCAAAATCAGGGTGCAGTAAGAAGAATGTCAAAGTTCTTATAAGGTATGAACTGGAACAAGGTAGGAAACATAGGAATGTGATAAGCAGCATAGCAAGAACCCTAAAGGATCACAGTCCAAACCTGGTTCATGAAAAGGGAGAATCAGAGGACAGTGATTACCAACGGAGGCTACCTTTTCCTCACAAATGTTTAAAAAAAAAAACAAAACACAAAAAACACACAAATAAAAATACCAAACATACCTGAGACTGAATGTCAGAAATTTTGGACCAGGAAAACTCAAATTCACTCAATGGAACCTAGAAAACAAAAGCACAAAGATTAGTAAACCAGGATGGATCAATATTCAGAGTTGTAGATGATGGAGCAGTGACAAGCGTCCTGTCCCATGAAGAACCAGAAGGACAGCCAGGCCTGTATGACTCCCTCAGGACAGACAGCCGCTCCTCTAGTCTCCTGAAGCCAAGGGAAAAGTCTTAGCTTACTTCCACTACCTTCACATGCATTGGGCTGAGGACCCTTCCTGAAAGGAAAGGCAAGGGACTAGACAGGGATGGTGAGTCGATGAAGCCCTTTTCTCTACAGAAGGAGCTCTAATGGATGCAACATGAGGCAGCCCGATGCTTCTAGTCAGAAGGACCACAGGCCCCTCCCTGCATGTCAGGAGAGCTGTCCTACCGCCCCCTGCCCTGTGACTAGGGTCTGTGATACCAGAGCTCACAATGACCACACACCCCTATGGGAAGGATCTCTCACCAGTCATCACTTATTAGGAAACTGCAAACATGCCAGACCTCAGAGAGGTGCTGGAGAAACAGCTGCCCAAGTCCCGCCCTCAGAGCCTGCAGTCTTGCAGAGAAGACAGGTAGAGGGTAAGAGGACAGTTGGATGAGCACTCGAGCTGGGGGAGCGCCAATGACAGGAGATCATTGATGGCGTCCCACAAGACTGCAAAGCTCACCCAAACCAGAAGCATTCTGAAGATCCAAAAAAGGGCATTCTAGAGCAAAGGCACAAGGGCCATTTTCGGGAATTGCGCATACTTGCAATTCCTACCAAGAGGAATCTTCCCAGCTTACGATTTTCCAAACCAAGATCTTTACCTTGGATTGCTTCAAGTAACGAAGGAAACCCAATTCTTCAGGGCGTAAAATGAGCAAGGCATGCCCTCTCCCGTTTAGGCCTCTGGCTGTTCTTCCCACACGATGAATATATTCCTTTGGTGGAGAGAGAACACCTGAATTAATACACCAACTTCCATGGGAACCTGTCTTTCCAGGACCTGTACGGTGGTGGACACAGCATGTCAGCGCATCTGGACGAGATGGTGCTCCTCCCCCAGGGCCGTGCCACACACACTAGCCATGTCCCCTGCTTCTGCACGGACCGTGACCAAAGAGGTAACAGGGCCATGACTGAGGCCCGATACCCGCTGGATGTGATATTCACGTTAATGACTACTAAGTGTGCTTCATCTTCAAAATAACTTTTTGAATATGTTTTTGTGCTAGCTGACAATTTATGTCATCTATTGCTTGTTGACAATACTTAATAAAACTTATTTTACTACACATGCTACAGAATCTTACCTATTTCTGGCGGTGAATTTTATTTTCTTCTAACACCTACTGCTCTTCACAGACCATTCCAAGCACATGACATTCCTAACTTCAGCCTCACTGAGGCCTCTCAAATCTTGGCACACCCCCTTGGGTCCTACAAAAGCCCTGGCTATTATCAGCACCAGAGAAATACTATAGTCAGTGTGCAGTACAACAGGACTTGGATAACTACGGGACCAACCTCTGAATGTGAAATATGGTGAGTCTCAGAGAAACCAGAAACTTCATTCCTTAACATAGAGCCCTTGTGGAGAAACTCCAGGGATGCCGGTTACCTTGGGGTCATCTGGAGGGTCATACTGAACAATCCAGTCCACTTCAGGAATATCCAGCCCTCTAGCTGCCACGTCAGTACACAACAATATCCCTGAATCTGCGTTGCAGAACTGGAAGAATGTTGTTGTGCGCTTATTTTGCTTCTGCCTTCCCTAGAACCAAGAATCAAATCAAATCATTCATTAGAGCTGGAAACTTGAGGTCATTTCTGGGAGGTCTGGATGTACAACCCCCCAGCTGTGGAGTTGTTAACCTGCTTCATTTCACTCTCTGGCCTAGATCTCATTTCCCTAAGTGGATGGTATCTCCTACCCCTTTGTGGTCCTCATCCTTCCACACCCAGCAAAGCTCCCTCCACATGGGATCATTCTACATTTAGAGAGAGTGATACCACAAACCCCACAATCCATATACTTGGTAAGTGTTAACTTTTTTAATAAACTCATGATAATCACTTACATGAATGGCCAAGACAGGCAAATCGATGTAGTTCAGCAACTCATAATGGTATTTCACAGACTTACAGGATGAAAAGAAGACCATCAGTTTCTTCTTCCGGTTCTTCTTAAGGAATGTAAAGAGCAGGAGGAATCTCTTTTCCGAGGGACAAACAACATATCCCTAGAAGTTGTTCAAGTGAACAGATCAAAATAATCAGACATTTTCAGCTTCATAAAGCAGTATGATTTGATGGAGAGCACAGATAAACACTGCATATACACCATCGTGCCTTACCTACAGCAAAATTACTGACTTCATTATAACAAAGCATCCCTAAACTGAGACTAATTTTAGCTCTTCTGATTCCTTTTACTGGGTGCAATCACTATACTAAGTACTTTTCATATTTCTGAGGTTACAGACTTCTGATTACCCACAGTTTGTGCAACCATAATAAAGTAACACCACTACACGTTGGAACCCTCAAGGCATAGCAATCCTTCATTTTTTAAAAGGTCCTTAAATAGCAAGATCTCAAATAACTACAGCCTAAGTGCACTGTCCTAAACAAGATAACAAAGGCAAGTGAATACATTTTTTAAAATATACAATGAACGGAATTTTTAAGCAAGATTGTTATTTGAAATATTTTATTCATCTAAAGACCCAACTTTCTGTTTTCATTCCACTTAGGTTGGATTTCTGTCACCTCATTTCCAATTTTTCAGAGCAATGTGCCTGAAACCAGCCTCTCCATCTGCTAACTCACCTTGCATCTTAGAGCAAAAGATCATTAAATAACACTTTTTATACTGCATTTACAATTGGTAGTGATTAGTGTCTCCTATGTGGCAGGCAGTATTAAAAGACAGAATAAAGAGATCTGATCAAATTATTCAGAATTCAAGATTAGTGATGCCAAACAGCCAATATCCAAATTCACTATATTTGAATTAAAAGTTCACTAATCCATCTGCTTTTGGGATGATCCTCCAAATAATTACAAGGACACACCAAAGATGATCCGTAAATGTAAGATCTTGACAAAAAGTACCTGCTCAAGACCATCCACTGTTGCATTAGCTTTATCGTCATCAACACCAACATACAATGGCTCCTTTTTCAAAGAAATCCTTGCCAAGTCTTCAACTTTTCGAGTTTGCGTGGCAGAAAAGAGCATGGTTTGCCTGCGTGCTGAAATAGATACATATAAAAATAACCCGAATATTTCAGGGAATCTTTAGCATTGCCTCACCACTAGAAATACTGAGGAAAACTATCAGGAATGTGACGTGTGGTATCACTACAGATATTAAGAAAGAAATATCAACTTTATGTCTATAAATCTGACAACTTAGATAAAATGGACAATTTCCCTGAAAGACAAATGGCTAAAGCTCACTTGAGATGAAAAAGAAATCCTGAACGGCTTTGTATCTATTACGGAAATTGTAGTTAAAATCGTCACGTAAAGAAAACTCCAGCCCCAAAGACTTACACTGGTGAATTCTATCAAACATGTAAGGAAAAAATATTACCAATTCTGCACAATCTCTCCAGGATTTGAAGAGATTTTTTATTTCCCAACTCATTCTTTGAAGCCAGCCATTATTACCCTGATACTAAAACCCAATAATGATTCCTAAGCACAGACGCCAAATTTCTAAACAAAATTTTAGCAAAGGTGAACATAACATATAAAAAGGATAATGCATCATGACCAAGTGGGGTTTACTTCAGGAATGCAGGATTGTTTAATACCTGAAAATTAACTGTTATAATTTCCTGAGTTAGCAAATTTAAAATTTAAAGAAATATTTAATGAACAAAAACAAACATCTGTTCATTTTAACAGACATGGTAAAAGCATTTGATAGAATTTAACATCTCTTTCTGATTGTGATGTTACTGTTTTATGCTGTTACTGCAATTTCACGTCTAATGGTTTGGAAGCCATTTTTGTAATGAATAAATATACATACTGTACGGTATCTGTATCATGCCATTCTGGATTAATAAAAACAACCAGTATATGCAGATAAACAAAACAAAAACAAAAAACATCTCAGCAAACCAGGAACAGAAAGGATCATTTTCATCCTCCGTCTGGTAAAGGGCAACTACAAAAAAGAAATCTATAGCTAACACCATACTTAATGGCGAAAGACGGTTGTCTCCAATGATTGGGGTGATGGGATTCACAGGTGTAAACATGTCAAAACAAACTGAATATTTGTAACATGTACAGACCGTATCAATTATACTTCAATAAAGCATCCAAAAACAAACCATATAATAAATGGGATCATGGCCTTATTACAGCCATAAACAGTTTATAACGTTGCAAGTACTCTAACCCAGGTATGTACAGCTCAAGCACAACACAGCAGGCAACACATTCATGGCTGCCCGGGAGATGTCAGGGTGGGTGAGAAAAAGAAAGATGGGGTGCTGGGGACAGACAGGAGTGAGACAGACGTTAGGACTGTCTAACTTGCATTACAACCTCTAAAGTGGCAAAACCACTGCATTAAGTTACTGGTAAGTCTGACGCTTGCTTTGCAAACTACTTCTAGGGCTGATTGGCACAACCACTTCGCTTGGCTAAATTAAAAGTCCAGTATGAATAGTTTTCAAAGAGGAACCACCCTCACCTACTTGCAACAACTATTTTGCAAACCACATGCAGGTATTACGTCCACTTACTTGGCAGAAGTTTAATAATCTGTTTTAATTCCTCTTCAAACCCAACATCCAAGATACGATCAGCCTCATCAATAACCAGACACTGCAGATTTTTATACATAAACCCCGGGGTATTCTAAAAAGACCAAGGAAAAGAAAAACGTGTTAGCTGACAGGTTCAGGTTTCACACGAGACAAGGAGACAGGCACCCCCCGCCCAAGTGTAGCCTTACCTGCATGTGGTCCAGGAGGCGGCCTGGGGTGGCCACAATGATGTTGATCCCATTACCGAGTTTCTGTGCTTCAGCAGATCTGTTGCTGCCGCCCATTATCAACCCGTATGTGTGGACATGGTGCGTCATCAGCTCCTTAAGAACACCGAAAGTCTGCATGGCCAGTTCCCTAGTAGGTGAGAGGATAAGAACTCCAGTTCCTAAAAGGCAAAAAATGACAGGAAAAGTCCAGCTGTAGTTATCACCATGAGTCCATAACTGCAACGATAAACTTCTAGTGAGTTACCAGCAAAACCCACCGGATCAGAAACTCACCGTTCCTAGGCATGAACTTTAACTTGACAATGAGTTCAACTGCAGGGATGAGAAATGCCAGCGTTTTGCCACTGCCTGTTTTTGCGGCTGCTAGAAGATCCCTAAATATCAGCAATGGAAAGGAAAGAGAGACATTTAGTCAACTTATTCAATAAGCATTTACTGAATACCTACTACATATTAGCACATTGCAGACATCAAGGCTAGACTGTGAATAAGAAAAACAAAGTCCCTAGCTTCTTTACCACTAAAATCAATCACTGAGGTTACAGATCTAACTCAGAAATAAGAATTGTGCTATAAAACAGAAATGAACACTTTTCTTCAAACATCAGTTAACTTAAAGCATTTTAATGAAGCATTGATGTATCAACTCAAAGCACAGGGCAAACATCAACAGAGCATGTTGGCATTTTCTTTCTAAATGACTAGCACTAAAAATAGGTACCAATGCCCAAACATCAATGTTAATCATACCTGCCTTCCAGAAGTGGTCTGATACTTTTATGCTGAATTTCAGTCATGTTTGTAAAACCCATTTCTTTTATTGCTCTCAAAGTGTTCTCATTGACAAGGTTACTAAGAGAAGCAAATGAAGTATCCTCAAAAGCTCCTAAATAAAAGAGTTTATCATTAGCAAATTTATCTTTTTTAATAGTTAATACTGCTATAGCTATGTAAATTAAGTTTTGCTGTGTGAAAACATTAATGGGTGGGAGTCAAGCTGAGAAGAGCTTCTTCCAGTAAGAAAGACTAGACCCCCACCATTTCTACGTAATACTAAGACAAAGACACTGACTTCTGAAATTTCTCCACTGCTGACGGCTTTGTAAAGGCTAGAAACAGTAAAGGATGGAGAGGAGATATAATCAAGGGACTTGTGTCTAATGAAAATGTCAAGCATGGGGGGTGGTGCAGAGAGAAATGAATTGCTTAAGAAATCTGAAATAAAAAATGAAAGCATCCAGTACAGAGAAAGTGAGTGCGAAGTCAATCAAAAGAGCTGTTAATCTCACTCCCAAAAGACAACTGAGGAGGTCAGATACAGCCACGTACCCTTAGACTGGACCCACACGTTAAGTGTGCTGGTTCTTCAGCAGGGGAAGATACCAAAATCACCTGGGGAGGCCCCACCCCACACCTGCCCTGCTTGTCAGTCAGCTATTGTTCACGTTGGCACTACTGACATTTTGGGCTGGATCATTCTTTGTTGTGAGAGGCCGTCCCATGCATTACTGGATGTTCTGCAGCCTCCCTGACCTCCACCCACTAAATGACAGTAGCCTGCCCCCAGTTCTGACAACCAAACATGTTGGTAGTCAACCTTCAGTTTGCCTGGGACTGAGAAGGTTTATGAGATGCAGGACTTCAGATGCTAAAACTGGTCGGTAAACCGGGATGACCTGGTCACTGCCCCCAAGGAAGCAAAACTGCCCTGGTTGAGAACCAATGCCATAACCTTTGCAATTTTGATTAAGCAAGCCTGGGGTTAGGCCTCAATATTTTAACAAATAAAAAACCCACACCGAACAACTCAAGGAACTAGACATTTCTGGTTTGGAGCAAGTGATTTTGGCCAAACTCTTGACTTATAGAGAGGCCAAAGGAAGTCACCCTGGCCAAAGTCCCTCAGTAATGTGAATTTCATCCTTGCTTACTAATAACTGGGGCAATGTTAAACTTCTGGGCCAATAATCTTCCTACTAGAAAATGAAATGAGCTTTAGAAAACAAACCAAAGGAACAGAGGACCCCAAAAGCTGTCTGTGTCCTTATCAAAATATTTAGTGTTAGGAATGCAGAAAAGGAAAAAACCAGAAACAATAAGAACTAAGGCACACAAAGTGAATAAAGCAGCAACTAGATATAAAAATATTTCTCATCAATACTTTTTCTAGGTAAATTAAAAGTCACAACTGAAACTTCAAATCTTATAATCCAGAAGGCATGCCATGTTTAAGGTCTCTCTGGAAAACTTTCTAAAGTTACCTGTCAGTCCCAGGGGTAGGCTGGGCACTTCACTGTCCTCTTCCTGACCATCTGGCTTCTCCACACTGTTTTCTGTCTCTTCAGGAGCTTGGGCCCCTTCTTCAGAGTCCCCTTTGTCTTCAGTTTTTGCTTTTTTGGTATCTTTGGTTTTAAAGGAAAACACCCCCCCCACCCAATTTTTTTTGTTAAAATAAAATACCAAACGGGATCACAAAATAAAAAGATGTGTAATGCAAAGAGGCATGTTCTCAAAAGCTTAACACATTTCCAGTTTTAATATGCTAAGAATGTCTCTTTTTCATGACTAAAGATTTAATTATATGTAAAAACCCAAGGGGACATGCAGATTTGCCAAAAAAACTTTATTTTTTAGGCCTATTATAGTATCTTGAGTGACCAAGACATTTTTGAAAGTTGAAGAGTTTAAGTATACTAATTACATCCAATTCTGTATATTCCACTGAAGGAAAAAAGGGCTGTGATTAATGGTTTTTTGAACTCTTAAAAAGCACTAATTTGTCCTACTATGCCATTAAACATAAATCTTCCATAAAAGCTTTTTTCTTTCTATAAAGGCCAGACACTAAATAGTGAAGGTTTTGCAGGCCATAGGGTTTGTCACAATAAAGACCAAGTAAACAAATGTGCACTGCAGTGTTCCAATGAAGTTTTATTTCCAAAAGTAGGCAGAGGGCTGAATAGTTTAACACCTGTTGCAGTCTCCTTTGAAATCTCTGCTTGCTCACATCTCAAATAAAATGCCTATCCTTCAGGTAAGCTTATCCAAATCCAACCATCTTCCAAAAGAAACTGGCCTCCCCTCATCCTGGCCATTCTACTCACTTGGGAATTAACGTTCCATTTATATAGAAGTTACCTGCTATTTTTTTTTTTTTAAAGATTTTATTTATTTATTTATTTGA